ATTTCGTCTTCTTTCGCGTCGATGCGAGTCCGCTTTGTTGGTGTTGATATGTAATATATATAGACCGAGAGACGGTTCTGACGTCACGCCGCTGTGGTGGCGCTGGTGTTGGTCCGGCGCATGCGCGGTTGCTTCAATTCATAGAAATTTCGTTTCTGCGCACGCGCAGAGCCCACAAAAGAAAGAAGCAAGAAAAAAAGTAAAAGTCGAAGATGGACGGGACCAACGCTTGTTCTGTCCAGTCTTCTACTTGTCCTTCCTTTTTCACGCTAAGTGCTTTGTGATGTTTGTATGAGCGGGGGACGTCCGGACCAGAGGTGTACTATAGGCAGATACAAGTCAAGGATGCCCCGAATAAAAACCACCACGAAACCAGTCACGGCATCGAATCGCTCAGCGGACCAACCAGGAATTCGGCAGCCAGCTGAACATAAAAGAAGGATTAGAGAGAGAGAGAGAAAAGGCATACACACTGCTGGACTAGCAACTGTTTAATAAGATGATCTTTCTCTCCATCTATATTGAGTTTCGCTTCCTCTTTTTCTTTATCCACATTTGATTTATATGAGGAACTTCTTCCTCTTCTTCTAGTCTTATACCTGAGCGTCTTCCTCGTCTTTCATTGGTCCGCCATGGGTGCGGCCTTTCTAAGATGCTCAACTTCCTTGTGGTGTAGCGCGATGGAAGGCGCACTCGCACACTTGTCCGCGTTTGCGTCATAGCAAGGGCCCCCAGGATTTCTCGAACGAACTTGTGGCGGTTTCTTGCCAGGATGTTTAGGCTAGAAAACTCTGGTACACACTGACACATATGACAATGGCCGGGTAGGTGCCCTGCTGCTTTTCTCTCTCTCTCTCGCTCTCTCTAATGCTTCTTTTATGTTCAGCTGGCACTATATATAGCAATAGGCCAACTAGTCCAGCCAACGTCAAAAGTCAAAGTCAAATTAGTCGTTAGTGGTTTATACAGCAGGAGGTTAGTCTGCCAGAACATGGCAACATTGTTACCCACTGTAGATAAGCAAAATAGCGAGTGAAGTACAACCGCTAGTCTGGGGTCTTTAACATGCACCACGCAGTAGTGATACACGACCGCTCCCTGGTACGATGCTCATCCAGATCGAAACGGGCAGGGGTGGGGATTGAACCCAGGATACCCTGGTTTTGCAGCGCGAGCTTTCGCTCCACGTGCTCCGAGCTGGTGTGCGGACTTTTCAGGACTCCAGCGACCTATAGGGGACGCCACTATCGGGCAAATATGGCGGTCGAATCCAGGTCCTGCCGTGCCATGTGCCAGCTGAACGCACAACACTGCGGCAACAGAAAGCAAGCATTCGACTCAAAATGGCTTGCCTCGCGTTTTATCTTCCACGTTTCGAACCTGCGGCGATGTGGTGGGATAAGCGAACTTCCAGAGACTTGACTTTCTTCAAGGAAACGAGGAAAGGACTGCCAACTGTTCTTCCACTGTGCTGATGAACGTTGAGAGACGCAGAATGTCTGGCTCACGCGGTTACATAGGTCGCGTGCAGAGCAACCTTGGTCACAAGGCGATACTACGGTTACGACACAGTCACCGGTAGAACTGTTCTGTCGCGCAAACCACCGACAACATGTAATCACGGAAGCCACAAGAGACGAGCAGAAATCGCAAAAGGACCTGTTCCGGGAACAGAATTTTTTTCTTTTTGAGAAGCCGCGGTAGGTAAACCTCTATCCTGCGGCTTCTTGATGTGGTGTTCCATTAAAGTTGTTTCTCTCTCTCTCCGGCCAGTTCAGTGTTTTCCCGCTAGGTGCCGTTCGTCTTGCTGGAGTCGCGATTAGGTGTGCGCCAGTGTGCGCTAACCCGCTCGACCACCGATCCCCCTAACTAGATCAGCTTCAAGCCGTGGCAGTAGCCATCACGCTTGGAAAAGAAAGACGCTGGCATATGGTCCACGGCTCGCGAAGGGAAAGTTGTTGTGGGGGATCGGTGGCCGGGGGAGAAAGAAGAAGACGCCGTTTCGAACGGCTGCGTTTTCATGTTCTCCGCCCAAGAAAACACATCGACCTCTGGCCGAGGTAATCCGTCTACTGCTGCAACTGCTACCGTTACTCCGATGAATGACTACCGAGTGCTGATGCCACGCCTGCCTACAGGTAACCTCGTTCTGAATTCAGTGTTCCTGCATGGAGATCTCACCGCTCGACCCTACCGAGCTCCGGACTTTCGCGACGCTCTAAGTGGCGTCATTGACCGAAAGGACATCATCGCCATGGGACAATACCAAATGTCGCATGTCTGGATGGTTGTGTGTGCGACTTCCCTCGCGAAATCCAAGCTCGTCTCCTGCGAAGAGCTGAAAGTGAAAGGCAAAAAATGCCTCGTTGTTGACCCAGAGTCAAAAGAAGTGAAGCTCAGGCTTTTGTGACTACCCCCCCACACGGAAAACCGCAGAGTCGTTGAAGCACTGGAACCTTTCGGTACCGTGCGCTCTATCGTACGAGAAAAATGGAAATGCGAAGGAATGGAAGGAATGGACACTCTCAACAGAGAGGTTCAGCTGACGCTCTGAGACGACATAAGCGTGAGCAAGATCCCTCACCTACTGACTATCTACGGGTGCCAGAGCTTGCTACTGATCCCCGGTCGGCCTCCCCTGTGCCTGCGATGCAACCGCGTGGGCCACATCCGCCGTCAATGTCGGACTCCGAGGTGCACGAAGTGCCAAAGGTACGGCGGACACAGCCTCGCTGACTGCGTCCTCACCTACGCCGACAGGCTGAAGATCGGGACAGTGGACGAGTCAGCCACAGAACACCTGATAGATGCAAGCGAGGTGGTTGAACCAAGTGGGGATATCCCCATGATGACTGAGCCTCCAGACCCTACACTTCAGCCACTCCCGCCAGAACAGCCAGAAGGAAGCCTCCCCTCTCCCGATGCGTGTACAGAACATCCCGCCAGCCCCCCGACCAACCCAAAAAGTACACTGAACATTTCTCAGACACCAGAGCACAGAGAGACTCTCACAGACGACCAACGGAAAACAACCACCACCGAGGTTGAGGATGAAGGTAACTCAACACAAGAAACTGACGATGCAGCCGATCCCATACTCACAATTGAAGCCCTTACAAACGCGAAATTGAATGACGTCCCTTTAACTAGATCAAAACTGTCCGACAGACGACAAGCTGGAACGCGGCACAAGCCGTATTCGAAGCCACTTTCTGGCCCTAAGCTTGTCGAAGACACCCCAGTGAGCGAAAACGCTCAACCATAAGCGATTGCATGTCCAGCGCCCCTCAGCTCCGTGTAGCTACCTTAACTGTGAGAGGTCTTAACTCTAAGCGAAAGCAGTGTCAGCTTCTTCAGCTCATGTCCCTACAACAGGTAGACGTGTTAGCTGTACAAGAAACAAAATTATCCGGCGAGGAAGAAACCAAGATCGCTTTGAAACCTTTTCTGAATGATTTCGAAGTATGTGTCACCCACGCAACGGGCACCTCGGCTGGGTGTTTTTTGTTTCTAAAACAAGGAACGGGTCTGACTGCTAAAGCTCTCACCACCGATCGGGAGGGGCGCTTCATCGTGTGCGATCTTACTTATGGCAATGACGAATGGCGCATAATGTGTGTTTAAGCTCCCAACGCTGTGAATGCACGTAATGACTTATTTTTACTTATAGAACCATACTTTAGCACCGATAGAAAATTACTGCTACTTGGAGATTTCAACTGTGTGTTAAATTTTAATGATCGTTCCCAATTCACGGCCAGATTTGACCCTAGTGCAGCGTTACTACAGTCCCTTGTCAACGAAAACAACTTAGCTGACATTGGAGAGCACAAAGGCAGCAGAGTTCATTACGCACATTTTCAACGCTCCTCTCACGCACGACTGGATCGAATATACATTTCTGGAGAACTCTATGAGGCTATTTCAGATTACACAGTGAAACCTGTATTTTTCTCAGACCACTGTCTCGTCTCAGCTATCCTTGGTGAAAAGAAACGGCATTCAGTACGTCCTGAATGGCGCCTATAAAAACTAAACACAACTCTTCTAGATGACGAAATATTTACTGACCGTATCCCAGAAATCCTTTTACCAGTGCAACAGATACCCTCACTACACATATTTTGCAAATGGGACATGTTCAAACAAGACGTTAAAAATTGGGCAATCGAACGCGCCAGTACTATCACATCTGAAAAAAGGCGAGAACTAAAGACTCTCTCTAATATGCTGTCAACGCTTTATGAGCTTGAAAGTAAGAAACCCGGTGAATACACAGAAGAAATAAACATGACTAAAACACAGCTCCAGCGATACGATGCTGAGAAGCATCGAGGCGCAGTGATTCGATCGCGCTCACAAACATTTCTACTCGGAGAGACGCCCGGACGGAGGTCCTTAGAGGATGAGCGAAGGTATGCTTTAACAAAAGAAATAGTTGAAATTGAACATAAAAATAGTACGAGAATAGATACACCAAATATTTCAGAAGCCTTTGTCGACTATTACACTAGTCTTTTTGGAAAGAGTATTCCAATCGAAGAAAGTACAGATATAGAAGAGCTAGTTCGCCTCGTGCCCTCCTTATCAGACGAGGAAAAACAAATAGTCGATGGTTCTCTGACCTTGCAGGAAATTCAAAGTGTCATAAAAGCTCTTCCTTCAAACAAGACACCTGGACCTGATGGCTTAAGTGCTGAATTCTACAGGAAATTTTCTGATCTGTTAAGTCCATTACTACTTGATGTCCTTAAAGCTTCATATGAGCACCAAACACTACCACCAACCCTTTATCATGGCCACACTGTACTAATTCCCAAAACAGAAGACACATTAGCTTTAAGAAAGGTCGAAGCTTATAGACCCATATCACTTTGTAATGTGGATTGTAAAATCTTCGCAAAAGTTTTAAACGAGCGCTTACACATCGTAATACATAATCTAATTGGAGAACATCAAACTTGTGGTATACGAGAACGAAACATTCAAACAAATATTCACGTAGCGAGATCTGTGATTGACTCTGTATCCGATGAGCAAGATCAAGTAGCTATAGTTCAACTTGACTTGTCCAAAGCTTTCGATAGAGTAAGCCATTCATTTTTATTCAAACTACTTTCTCACGCAAACGTAGGGACCATGCTTCTAGAGGGCATTCGGCTCTGTTATAAAAATAGCAGCACGAGACTAATTGTAAACAACTCTCTTTCCGATTCCATCCATATCAAATCTTCAGTTAGGCAAGGTTGCCCATTATCCCCGCTTCTTTTTGCTTTATACCTTGAGCCTCTATGCATGAGCATTATTACGAATCATAATATCCGTGGCTATACACTTTGCTTCACTGAGGTAAAGTTACTGGCGTATGCTGATGACGTGGCCTTGTTCTGTTCGAATAAGGAAAGTGTGGAAAAAGCCCTTCATGTAACAGAAAAGTATTGCGAACTAACTGGAGCGAGGTTGAATGCTGAAAAATCTAATGGCTTCTGGATAGGGGAGTGGGCAACTATGCCAGGGCGTTTTGCTGGGTTGTCGTGGAATTGTTGTCCATTCAAATATCTTGGCGTTCCACTAGATCAAACAAGATCCAATAATCTATACTGGAATTCTGTTATAACTGAGATCAAACGAAAATCCTTGGCATGGAGGGCGCGAGATCTTTCCATCTTCGCAAAAGCAGCAGCGTGTAACATTTTTTTTTAATGTCAAAACTAATGTATGCCTTACAAGTATTACATTGTAGCCGTTCAAAAGTACAAGCTTTCCACAGAATTTTTGCGACCTTCATCTGGAGCTCACCTTGGGAACGGATGAAGCGTGACAACTTATTCCTTTCGTTGGAAACTGGCGGCTTAGGTCTGGCACATTTATTCATTCGACAGCTCGTTTCGCGACTATTTTTCTTTAGGAATTTATCCCATCCTTTTCTGCTTACCGTAGTTCAAAGAAAACTAGCACATCACTTGCCCTTCATGATCATTTCAACAACAAATTCTACCCCAGGCAAACTCTGGGGATTTTGGAAGGAGATAGTCGATACCTTCATGTTTCTAAAAGTCCGCTTCTCGCTAGAATTCCTTTTTGAGGTATCAAGAAGAAGACTATCACAAGCCCTAATTGAAAGTGTCTTTCCTGTTCCCCTATACAGAACACGGTTTAGCGATTGTGAAGGACGCAATGTTATAAAACGAGTGAAACGAATGTGCGTATCTCCAAGTGCTAAAACATTTTTCTTTAAGTTGCACACATCAACGCTTCCAGTAAAATGGTGGCTCCAAGAGCGTGGTTTTTTCGTACCGTGGTCGGTTGATTGTCGTTTATGCCACCGACCAGAAACCATAGAACATTGCTTTATCTACTGTACAGATGCAGTTTTCTTCTGGGATGTCCTTCAACGAACTCTTAAAAAGGACATAGACTTTACAGACCATAGTATTCGCTTTCTATACGTCCCCACCGAAACAAACATTCCTTATGATTTATTCATGCTGATAGGCCTACACAGCCTCTGGAGATGCCGGATGATTGACAGGAATGCAGACACACCACGAACCACTAAATCCATTTTTCTAGAAGAAATATCTAAAGTAAGAAGTGTTTATGAAGCTCACCAACCGGTGCCTGACTGGTTTCCTCTTTTTGATGCGTGCTTAAGACTTCCAGATTTTCAATATCTGGAAATGTTTGAGACTATTGCGTACCTGAAACGTTGTTTGTTAATGTTTGTGAAGTGCCATGAGTGAAAATGTGCTCCAGGACTGTGGTTCAGAAAGACGATCACCTTAACTTTTCATCTCATTTCTATCACTGTGTGCATAGTCATCTTTTCACCTTATGCCCTTGTAACCTGAATTTTTAGCGCAACCTTCCATGTATTAAAGAAAAAAAAAAGGGGGATCGGTGGCCGAGTGGGCTAGCGCACACCAGCTCGGAGCACGTGGAGCGAAAGCTCGCGCTGCAGAACGCAGGATCCTGGGCTCAATCTTGGCTCAATCCCCACCCCTGCCCGTTTCGATCTGGATGAGCATTGTACCGGCGCGCGGCCGTGTACCATTACTGCGTGATGCAAGTTAAAGACCCCAGGCTAGCGGTTGTACTGCTCTGGCTAAATTTCTCATCTACAGCTGGGAGGCTCGTCACCCGTTGAGGCAGACCAAGTTCTAGGCTGTATAAACATACACACAATCCATCTTTTGGACATTTGTTGCTTGCATGTACCTGTTTGGATGAGGGTGTGTTCTTTCTGTGTCCAGCCTGTCTTGTACTTCATATGAATGTGGCGAAAAAAAAATATTCAGAAAACGGGGCTGTGTAAACTAAAGTCGAAAGAGAAAAATTATTTTTCAATGCCGCCAAGCACCGCGGCAGCATATAATGGCGGTACGAAGATGAACGCCCGTTTCGCCAGGGTGTGGATAACAAAATCTCTGTATGGAAAAAACTTCTCTATAAAGCCGTGTCACACTGCTGATACATCGTACAAAAAACAGCCTGCAAACAGATTCGAACGCGGGTGACAGCGAGATCCGTGCTTCGAACGCCGCATGGCAATGAGTTCATGGACGACACTTGGCATGCGGCATTCGAACCACAGACATTGCGGTGACTCGTGTTTGCAGACTGTCTCTTGCGTGATGTATGAACAGTGTGTCTTCAGCTTAAAGCTACCCGTCACCAGCAAATTTAGATCGTCTCACGAAGAATGGTAAAGTCAAGGAGGAACTGCACATTCAATAAACCAAAACGGCTACTACACGGAGAGCACGGCGGCACTTTCCCAGCATTCGGCGACTTTAGTGTGAACCAGCCTGTAGGGAAATAAAAAAAAAAATGATTAAAAGAACGAAACAAATAAAATAGATGTTTGTCGTTGTAGTGGGACGTCCACTACAACGGCAAACATCAAGGCACATGTAAGCGAGTGCTGTGTAATTCCCTTTCTTAGACCGCATTGCTGTAGCTTTCATACTCTTTTTTTACAAAATATTCCACACATATAAATTAAACAGTATTTTATCAATAGCCTACAGCATATGGCGCTTCGGTTAACTTTGACACAAAAGAAAAACTAATTAGCATTCATATGACTTAGGAAGACCTTAACATCTAATGATTCACAATCAAACCGGGTGTTCCAGTGAGGACTCGAAAATTCCGAGCACGAGGTTTCGAAAAAAAGAAAGCAAGAAAAAAAAAAATGAAAGTTGCTTACAACTGTCTTTAACACCGAATTAGAGCGCAGCTCTTGAGGACGAGGAGGGAAGAGTACTGAGGGGAGCGTATACCCCTCCTCTCTCCTCCTCACCTCCTCATCCTGCGTGGTACTCCTCCCTCCGAGCGGCGTTGGCGTCGCCATCGGTGTAACAGTGAGGTCACGTGACGCCGGCGACGTCACATGACCCTCCTGACCTCACGGGGGTCACGTGGCCTCACCGAAGTCAGGTAAGATCATGGGAATCACGTGACCTCACGGCGGTCACGTAACCTCATAGCGTTCACGTGACGTCACCGGGGTCACGTGACCCCCGTGAGGTCACGTGACGTCATCGTCGGTAATGACGTCAAACGTGACGATGACATAATCGTGATGACGTCATCGGGACGTCACAAGTGGTTACGTCACCAGTGACGTCATCGTGATGATGACGATGACGTCACTGATGACGTCATCAGTGACGTCACGCGTCCCATAATGCACCGCGCGGTTACGCAGACGCCGACGGCGACGGCGACGGCGACGCCGCTCAAGCCGGAAACGGGCGCCTAAAGGCCCGACCACACTAGCGTGAACGGCGCCACCGGGCGGCGCCGCCGGGCGGCACCGCCGTCCGGCGTCCAAACGCGAGGAGTCCACATTGGCCTCCGTTTTGCAGGCGTCACGCGACAGCACTGGTTCCCGCGGTCGCGCCTCCCGTCGGATGTCCCGCTCTTTCGTCGTCTGCTCTTCGTTACATTCTTCCGTTCCGCACTCGCTGCCACACATGGTAGGAATCCATAATGACCTGGTGATCAGCGTGAATGTGATTATCCTAGCCTGTTTGTTGATCTTGCGACGTCGCCGCGCTCTGAAGGGAAGGAGGCGCAGGTTTTGGGTCCGGCCGAGTTGGTTCTACCGAAACACCGCGGGACAGGACACGTCTGGCGCGCCGCCGGGGCTTTGCTGCCGCGGCGGCGCGCCAGAGATGAAGGCTACTTTCGAAAGTGTCACCAATTCAACACGACATCCGCCACAACACAGACGACATGCAACAAGTGCCACGGAGAAACTCACTCGTAATTCCGAATTCCTCTCCTATAATTTCCCAGCGGTTGTTCTTAGCGTCCTTACCTAGGTAGTCTGGCTGCGTCTTGTCATATAAAAAGGGAAACAGTCGCACAGTTTCAAGGAACCGCTCCGTTGGGGAAGGCATCGGGGAAAATAGGAAGAGCAGACGACGCGAAACACGTCCTTCGGAACGTGAAAGACGAGCCGAGGACCGGCTTGAGCGTTGCCATGGCATCGCGACGTCGCTATCTACGCCACTTCCATTGGCTCCTCTCTTCTGCGGCGTGCGGCGCCCGGCTTTGAACCGCGCACGGAGCGGTTGACTCTGCGGCGCCGTACGTCGCGTTGTTGAAGCCGAAAACTGGTTTGGGTCGGCAAACGGCAGCGCCGACCGCCGCGCCGCAGGCCTCCGCGACGCCAATGTGGTCGTGCCTTAAGAGCTGCGCTCTAAAAAATAGAGGAATTCTGTTTTAGGCTGTCACGACTCAGATCGTATCAAATGCGAAAAGCGGAGTGCGTGGCCTTCGACACATGCTGCGCTTCCCGGAGGCCTCTGGAAACTGATAAAATTACGGGTTGGAGAGTGAGGCGCTGCCAGCGTGTGCGTCGTATTGGGGAGGGGGGCCGACCGTCACGCCGTTAGCGGCCAAGTGGGGAACTGAAGCGATGGGTACAACAAAAACACGCCTCAGCCATTTTCAAAGGATTACAGCCATGGACGAAGGCGATATTCGCCTCGTGAAAGGTATGTCATCGGTATCTTTTTACTAGAACGTACATATTGTTCTCTGTCTTATCATAAATGCGTGTGTTGTAGCTGAAAGAAGAGCCCGCGGGGCTAGCTCGGAGCAACGCTCGGAGCAACGCCCGGAGCTTCGATTGCGACTGCCGGCGTGGCCGCCCGTGCGCTGCGCGCGTCGTTAATCGCTAGGTGTTCGCGCTTCAAACTTTGGCTTCGCTTGCACTTATTGCATGATGTAAAAGACATGCTGCAGAACTGCCGAAGCACCAAAGAGCTTGGTAGATTTGCACGTACACGCGCAGCGCGGGGCGGGTCGCACGCCTGTCCGTCGTCACTTTATTTGGACTGTTTACTTCGAATCTCTCTTACATACAAGGGGAATGTGTAGCGCCAGTGAAGAGTAGCTAAACTCGGAGCATGCCTCTTGGTGCTTGCGAAACACACGAACGGTCTATCGCATCAAATGTGGGCAAAGCGTCCCAGCGAAAAGGGAGGAAACCATTGCTGGCAGTGTTGCACCTACTATGTGCAAGCCCCGTTGTTTTACCGTCCTATAGACCCTTTCCGGAATTCAGTCTGGCCACTTTGATCACTATCATCATCATCTGAAAACGGCATATGTGCTATACTAATGGCGGCCTTCTGTTCACTGATGAAGGAAGAAGTTGAAGATGCTCCTAAGCAGATGATTCGAGGCCTGAACATTCTCGATGTTAGCGCGGCGTGAAGCAGGAATTGGACGTAAGAGCTGCGTAAGCGTTCGTTTCTAACTCGGTCCCAGTCAATCTGTTAGTAGCTCTCACTCGGCCTCAAAGCCCCTTGGTGTATAGAACTCTATCAAGGCGTCTATGTGGGTTGGCGCTTCGTTCCGACTGGCTGCCCTTGTTTCGCCGTTGACACTAAAAGAGATTGAAAATAATTGTAGTGAAGTGCACATTCTCGTTTACCGTTGACCTTTAAGTGATGGTGCCCCATTAAATACTGCAGACCACAGGTTCATTACCGCCATTAGTATAGTAAAATATTAACCGCCATTTGAGTCACCAGATGGCACTGAATTCCGGAAAGGGTCTATTAGATGCTCGTAGTAACGTACGCATTATTTACTGCTTTTCAGTACCCATCTCCCTTGCAACGATCCTGGAGTATGTGGGAGACTGTAAGAGGTGTCTCATTGAAGGCGAAGATGTTCTAAATTGCGAGCACGTAATAGAATGCAGCGTCGCGCCCGGGCCAGCTTTGGGTGTCCTTCGCGTTGTAGGCTACGTGCTGCAATCGTCAGCGCTCCACGGCGAGCCACACACCGTGAATTTGGATCTTAATCACGGAGAGATCCTCAGCATTTCCTGTTCATGCGTGGCAGGGTAAGTGGTCATTTGTTACTGATTATTTGCTTAAACTAGATTAGAAGAATTCTTTTGTTTTCAGTTTGCTTTGGGGGGGGGGGGGGGGGGGGGGGGGAGTCCTCTCTAATTCAGGTTCACCACATTTCAGTGGTGTCTTATTGATGATGGGTGGCTTTTGGGTTGTCATACGGTGTGCCTGTTACTGAAATTTAAACCTGGGATTGAACAATTGGCTGTTTACTTTGGTGTTGCTCCCAGGAACTCAAGCCGGTGCAAGCATTGTGTAGCTGTGCTGCTTAAGGCAAACCGGATGCGTGAACTACCGCAGCTCTCAAGTACTGATTTACCACAGGCGTGGGGTCAGCACGCCAAAGAGGTTGTGAAAGTCAAGTATGCCCCAACGACGCTGAAAAAGGTTCCTTTCTGTCCAAAGGTAAGTTCCAGCTCTCATGACATTGTGAACAGAAAGACTCACCAATCTTCCTCTGTCATCTCGGCGCAAAGCCCAGTTTCCAAGTATGTCATCTGTCGCATTTTTATCGCTAGTTTTGTTGATCCAAGGACCACTTGTTGAGAAAATGTTGAGTGGTCGTTGTCATTAGCTGCGGTGTCTGACTTAATCGAGCATTAATTTACTTGTCAACATCCAGGAGCACGTCGCATTTTGGCTTCTCATATCACGGTAAAATAATGTGGGCTGAATGGCAAATACAGATCACTAGTCAATATTTTAATGCAAATAGTGACCAACTTTTAATGTCCCATGGACTAGTTGCAAAAAGGATACATTACGCTCTTTTGTTCCAAAAATGTTGTCGGTTCCGGTTACTTTAATCACTGCCTCAAGTCTTGTGGTTGGGGCATAGTTGTGGCACATAAGAGCCTCTTGCAGTTTGTGTACGTGAACAACCTTTTTCCCTTGTAGTGTCGTGACCTGCAGATCTGAATTTAAATAATTTCAGTTTCAACGCCCTGCACTGCCCCCTGTGGAACCTAATATTCTTGGGCGACTGAAGAAAGACCTCCCATATGTGTGCTCGATTGCAATCCACGAGCGGAAACGGCCACACGCAGGTAAGATATGGTTTACTTGTCGAATTCATGAGGGCAACCTTTATTCCTTCAACCTCGTGGAACTTTGCAATGGCATGACATAACCATAGTGCAGTGCCAAACGATGCTGCATCATTACAGAGCTTTTCCACATAAAACTAAACCTGGGTACACACCTGATGTAAAGCCTGTTGACATCTCATAATGTGAGCGCAACATGTGTTGCTTTGCATCGGGTCATGCATTTAGTGCACCTTCCTGATGTGTTTTACCCATACTCCTGGAAACCATTCAGGCGGATAGAACTAGGACATCCAGATTGTTGAAAAGAATCTGCCAAGAACTAGATAATGTCCTTGAATAAATGGCTTGGCACAAATAAAAGTGTATACTGCATTTCAGGACAGGCGAGTGGAGCATCATGCTCTTCTGTGGTGGCATCTCGTCCACCTAACCTGCTGGAAGTACTGCGGCGAATGCCAGAAGAAGAGCTCCAGAACGTCCTGACAGTGCTGAAGCGTGTACTAACCAAGGACGTCATTGCAGAAATTGAGCGCAGAACAAAAGCACAATCTGCAGAGCCCGAGTGGATGCTGTACAGGAAGGGCATGGCCACGGCATCAATCTGCCACTCATTCCGCACATGGGTGACGTCTGTAAAAAAACCGGCGATACATCCTAGACCACACAATGTCGGCGGTCTGCTCGATCTAGTGCTCAGGTTGAACACTTATCAATCTGCCTCCATGAAGAGGGGTCAGGAGAACGAAGGGAAAGCCAAGTTGAAGTACCTTAATGTACTAACTAAGGATGGTCACTGCGCCAGGATTGACAACATGGGTTTCATGGTATGGGAGGAGATGCCCTTCCTAGGATGTTCCCCTGACGGCATAGTCACGTATAAATGCCAGTGCTGCCCAGGCAGAAGAAATCTATTAGAGGTGAAATGCCCAAATGTATTGAGCAACTCTTTTCTTAAAAATGGAAAGGACCCCAAATCATGCAATTACACCCAGACACAGATCGGTATGGGAGTCACGGGTACCGACAGCTGTGACTACTTCGTCTATGTGTCGGATACGGTCTGGAAGCTGGTAAACATTAAGTTCAGCCAAAAATATTTCGATGAATGTGTCGAGGCGGTCCGCTTCATTTACTTGGAGTACTTGTTCCGTGCTCTGAAAGGAGTGGTATGATAAAGGCCGTGTTTTTGTGTTCACTTTTGAGGCATTAAGCAAGAACACCTCACACATGGTCATTTTCGCAAGTGTAACAGGTAGTTTAATAAAAACAAATAGGTGCATGACAACAGGAGAAACAATGGGACTTGCAGTTTTTAGTATGTTCTTTCATTAGCTAGACATGGCATGACATTGAAAGTGAACATTTTGAGAGAAGTCTCTGATTGGGGTGCTACAATAAATAAAGCGATAACACTAACCAAATCCGTAAATAGGAAAACCCTACGTTTCGAAACAAACTCGGTTCCTTCGCCAGGGTTAGACTGCGGTTGTGGTCGTCGAGGAGCAGCATTTTTTGTTTTCTTCTGGTAGGGTGGTTTAAGAAAACAAAAAAATTATGCTCCTCGCCGGCCATAGCCGCAGTCCACCACTGACGAAGGAACCGAGTTGGTTGTGAAAGAAAGGGCTTCCTTATTTACGGATTTGGTTAGTGTTATCTCTTTATTTGTTTATGACAAACAAGGGTGCTATTTAGTGTTTACATCCCCTTATTTCTTTTAAAACTACAAAAACTTGTCATGGGCAAAAATTGGAGGCGAAAGGTTCACAATTCCTGCCACCAATTTCATTACATCGTCAAAGAGGGGCATCAGGTGCGTTGGAAAGCGCTGCTGGAGTATTCTGAACACTTTCAAGCGTTGAATAGCACGTTCAACGTGTACCCTTGCGCGGGCTATGTCTTGATTCAGCACTGCATCTGTGCGCGACATTCGTTGTTTGTTCCTCAGGAAAGGTGGTCGAACGAGTTCTACTCTGGCATCATCGCACAGCTTGTCAATTAAGAACCCTTTGTCCACCATGACTTGCTCAAGTGGGGAGCACTTTTCGAGAACTTTCGATTCCTTTGTGATGAAGCAGTCGGAAGTTCTTCCTCCATAAGCGTTGCTTACAAAGGTTATCATGCCAGTTGGGGCACACCCAATCAGCACTTTTGCAGTGTATGTCTTTTTGTAGTGGCTGTAAGTGATTACTCGTGATGTCAGGTCAGCTGGCCTCTGTGTGGCTATCTCTGTACAGTCAAGGATGATCTTAGTGTGAGGAAATTTTCTAAAATACACTGTAAGGTTTTCCTCGATTGACTCGTCGGATGGAATGAAGATGGCAGCACCAAGCACGTGACTCAGGATACAGATTGCCGTTTTCAGGTTTTCGGATGCAGTTGTTCTGTGAACACCAAAGCCAAGAAGCTAATAGAGACGTTGTGGTAGAGCTTCACCATAACCATCAAAACAAGGTCACCCGAACACAGAAAACGAGCCTTCAAAGTCATCTGCTTTCTCACATTATCGAATTCCGTTACAATGTTTTTCATCAACTGTAGTGAACCAACACCATAAAGAATGACAAGCTCTTTGTCGGACTTTACCATCGACAACGAAATTCGGGGCCCTTGCTTCTGCTTCAGTAGGGTGTCCACTTGAATGCACGAATCTACTTGGAAGGGTGATCCTGTGGTAAGCAGCGACTTCTCGGTCCCTAAATAAAATGAGAGCAAATATTATGTTAGCATGGAAACCACAAACCTGGCCATCTCGACTCGTGACGGCTGTGAAAGTACACATTTGATCACAAAACATACTGAAAACTGATGATATAGGATGGAATGGAGAGCACATTTATCAACAGTGTTCCTGGGTCAAGCTTCAGCGCAAAGCACCGGTGTGCTCGGAGAAACAGCGGGTGCGGCAGTGCATTTCGGTTTGCTTGATGGGCTAGGAAATTTTACTCGTTGTTAGAGGTCAGGTTCAACTAAAAAAAAAAAAAAAAGCAATGCCGAGAAAATATGTCTGCGTATTCAAATAAATAAATTATATTGATAGAGGCCCTTGGCACAGAAGCGAGGTGTCCGTTTTGTTGTAGCCAAACCTATGCTTGGTAGCCTCGCCTAACAGAAAGTGGCAAAAAGTATGACATAACTCTTAGTCACTGGTTTTGGGACACTTTGGTTCAATATCACACACTGTTGTGAGATGCAATGAGATTCAAAATGGTGCATTTTGATTACCAGTGGAATTGCTGGTAAACGCATAGTCGAATCTTTACTGACGAAAGACAAGCTATGTCGCCCATTCTTGCATCAAAGCCGAAGTTTGAACAGAAGTGCAGTCTAAACTAGTTATAAGAGACCTTGATAGTTATCAAAATTGCAGTTTGTCGTAAAAGTATATGTAGTGTGGAGATACGAAAGTGAATCAATGGCAAGAATAGTAAAAGCTGCCAAATTTCAAATGTCTGTCGTAACCACATCAAATGACTGTCGTAACCAGATTTATTTTAACGATTTTAGACTGAATTTTGCACAATGGCAAGTGTAAAAGAAAGTTTGCTTTGCCGGCATGAACAATAATTTTGTCTGAGTGTACTTCATAAAAGGCACAATGTGACAAATGTTATCGCTCAACTTAAACTTGCTTTTAAGTACAAACAAATGAAACAAGTTATATGTTTTAAGGCAGTCAGATATCAAAATAAACTTGAAGGATAGAACAACTACATTATATCAGTGTAAATTCAAAACCTACACTCTGCATCGTAGTCACTGTCGTTGAGCTCCTCGCACGACTCCGCTTCTTCGCTCCACTCTTCACTGGACATTGTCGCTTCATTCTGATCATCACCGGTCAGTGTTGCTTCGCTGTCATCCTCACAGGTCAGAGTTGCTTCGCTGTCATCCCCACAGCTCACTGTTGCCTCGCTGTCAGCTCCACAGGAGGAGACACCATCGTCACCTGAATGTGTTGCGAGTAAATGAGCAAAACGTTGAATGTGTTTCATATGCGTGCAAATGGTTATCCACATGAATGAAGGGATTATCTCGAACACACTCCATACAGCAGTTGCGGTAATGATTTATATACAGTGCTCACTCACTGGAATGAGTGAATACGGTTTAAACGAGCTTCACATAAAATAACACGAAAGGCTAAGACTAGCTCTTCAACACCGTAGAAACGCATAGGAACAAAAATAAGAAAACGCACAGAACGGTCTCGAACTGAGCTGCGACATGCATGTCATCCAATATTTGTTTTTAGTTCTTTTGTTTCAACAATGTTGAAGGATCACATTGTAATCACATTGCTGTCAAAGCTTTTTGTTGAATGGCCAGTGCAATAAAACGTTTGCCGAAGATGGAACACCGAAATAAATTAAAAAGGGCTGAAGGAGTCCTGCATTGCCTTGACTTTCTGCAAATATCAAGACTGAAGCAACACTGAGCTCGTTCAGTTTATGTGTACCAGCCTCCAGCAGTGCAGAAGAAACATGGTCTGGGTGGGGACTAACGTGACGTGTGGTGTCTGATGGTGTGCTCCCGTTGGTATTTAAGTTTGTGTTTTTTCCTAATAAATTCAGTTGAGAGTGCGCCCTCTGTCGTCGTTATTCTACTCTTTGTCCCTGTTCTTTTGGCGCTTATTTCCCATGATGTACCAACTGACCCACCTAAGCATTTTATTGCAGGTCAATGTATTTCCTCAACGTGTTTTAAGATAGGCTGCTATTGTTAATCGAATGCGCTGAGTGTAACCAAGTGGAACTGGTGTATAACGTGCTGGTTAAATCAAACAAGCCTACAATGTAATGCAATAAAAGTGCTGAGAAATGCAAATGGCCCACAAAACAATCCTACGATTGATTTGAATTGCAAAACCAGTTTAAGATTGATTCTGCAATTGTAAAGTGCCACTGCACCATATTGTTGACCTAAACAATAGCAATTAAGTTAAACATAATCGCCATAAGTACCAGCATTTCCTTGGTACTATGACTAGCTAGATGCCGCTGGTACACGTGAGTCCATAGAATGAGGAATGCTAAATATCCACATAACTGCGGAAAAGAAATTTCCTATCCTTTTTTTACCCTCTACCACGCCCCGTTTGAATTTTAATAAATCGTGTCGCCTTTCTATAAGCAGCCTAGCCATTGTTCAAATTGACTTGCGTGATGCTAGACCTCAACAGATGCAGGCCCAGGCATTTCTGCGACATCATGATACGGTGGAGCTACCTGCCGTTACCTTTACAAACTGGTATTCCATGACTGTAATCACTTGTGTAAGCGATTACAATATTTTACAAGCTTTTTTAACAAAAATGTTATTCCAGTGGTTATTTATTTGTTACTGTTGCACCATCTAAGCACTGCAATAGGAGGAAACAACTATTTTTGATGTGGCATGCTATGTCACAAGAAACTACACATGCTTTTAATAAGTTGTTTAGTTTGTTTATGTGCACACTTCTCTCGACCGTACTCACAGTCTTCTTGAACAATGACGTGCTCGGCCCTCAGGCGTGCTCCGTTGCAGCTTTCATGGTCAACCTGGCTGAGAGTGCTGGGCCTGTACTCATCGAGGGATGGGTTCTCTCTGTCACCTGAAATAAATTCTCACTTAGCCTTTTCTTGACCACTGCCCATAATGACTAGAGCATTAGGCATGCACATTAAGCATAAGTTTGTTATCACAGCAACCATAAACATATAGTATCATCTGCTAAGTATGAAGAGAGTGCCCCATCACAGAGTCCCATACCATTTCGTTCAGCGAAATTTCGGCGACAACATTCGGTTTTTTCCAATATTAATTGTAAAAAAAATAAATGCCAATATCGCCAAATACGTCGGCAAAATAAGATGTTCGAAAAAACAAAAGCAAAAGAGTACGTCCCCACGGAGGATCGAACCCGGGACCGCTTATTTATGAGACGGGCATCTTAACACTACGCCACCGCCCACTTCGGAAAACTCGTTTTGAGAACACGATTTATACAAGACTTTCCGACGGCACTTGATCGTGTGGGTAGAGGGCTGTCGGACGGCACTTGGACGCCCTCGGACGGTACTCTAGACACTACGATCATTGGCTCGGTCATTTTATGTGACATTAGACGTACACGACCGCCGTAAGCTACGTCTGGCGTACGAGGCTGGCTCCGCGCACTGTGATCAAAATATCGAATGAGGACGCACTTAGTCACGCTTCAATAATCACGAACATGTAAGGACGACCACTGGCATATGAAGATATCA